TGCACTTGCCCTTGTTGAACTTCATGAGGTTCACACAGGCCCACTTCTCCAGCCTGTCCAGGTCCCTCTGGATGGCATCCCTTCCCTCTGGTGAATCAACTGCACCACTCAGCTTGGTGTCATCCACAAACTTGCTGAGGGTGCATCTCGGAGATAAAGAGCCTGATCCTGCCTCTTTAACACAGTGTTGCTGAGGATTTCAGAGCAGACAGGATAAAGTGAGGGTGAGGATTAAAGCTCATTTTGGTCCTTGCTTGCCAGGATCTAGCTCCTGCCTCCACCCTGCAGGTTTGATCCTGAAGGCTTTGCCAGCTGTGCTGGCAGGAGCTCCCCCGTGGCTCCCTGAGCACTGCCGGGGCCGGCCCTGGCAGGGCTGCTCTGACTCTCGGGAAGCCTTTGCTCTCTTCCCACGAGGCCTGTCTGATCGTGCTGTCTGTCCTTCTGCCCAGCGCCTGTTCCGGCCAGGACAGGCAGCCAAGGCAGAGTCTGGCCAAGCAGCCCCGGGCAGCCCTTCTGTGAGGATCGTGGCATGGTGCAGCACCCTGGCTTTGCCGGCTCTGTCCACGCCGCTGCCAACCCATGGTTGCTCTCGCAGGTTTTACCAGCGAATCAACCTCCCCAGGGTCCTGTTTAGGATTGCGGTGTCCTCAGGCAGCGGGAGCTGGGGTGAGGGAGGCTTACTTTATCCAAGGGGCTGATCCTGCAAGCTCTGCCCTACCTGCATAGCCCACCCATGCACCACGGTACAGCATGGACCCCCTCACACCAGTGGGTGGTTCAGACTACCCCAGCATGGAGAGGGGGATAGCTGGTGACTTATTTAAATTCTTTGGGGAATGATCCTTTAAAATGATCCATGTCAACTTTTGCTCTTGGGGGAGCTTTTAACTCTTTTCCTGCTGCCCCCGGAGCTATCGCAGCTGCCTGTGAGCCCCCTTGCCTTTTGCCCCAGCCCTCCTGGTACACCGTGGGTTTGCTCTGCAGCAGGATGGCCCCTGACAGCCCGTTATGATGGGGTTGGCTGTGCGTGATGGGAGTGTGTCTATCCCAGGGCCTTTAATTATAGAGATAAGGAAAATGAAGTTAAATTTGGGAGAGGGGGCAACTGAACCTCATAGTATCTGCTGTGACTTGTGTCTTCAGGAAAGGAAAGTTCTTGTCAGGTTAGGGTGGGCACCTGTGGAGTCCAGACACTTCAGCTCCTGACTTTCCCGTTGATGCACCCTGTGATTTTTTTGGGGACTAGTCTCTAAGCAGGCGGGTGCCAGGGGAATGAGTGCCCCTCCTGGGAGGGGCAGAGGGGGAGACTGGCTTTGCTACTGTCCAGTGAAAGCTGCTGTCAAGTTTTAACAAAATAAAAATAAGAGGTTTTCTGCTCTCTGTTTTGACTGTGTAATTTATTATTTGGCTTTGAACTCGCTTGAGGATGACTCCTTGCTGGGGGCTCTCCAAGCCAAGCCTGCAGAGCGGAGGAGAGCGCTCCGGTCCTGTCCGGGCAAGGAGCTTCAGCAGGGCTGTGCATGCCGAGCCAGCCAGCAGTCCAGCAGCAAGCTCATTCTATGCTGGCTCTGCTGAGGCAACGGGGAAAATGTCTGCCTGGCTCAGACCTTGGCCTGCGGTAGCTGCTTGGGTGCTTTTCTGGGTGACCTTCCCCTTGCAGCTGGGCTGGGGCCACTGGCCTCCTCCTGTCCCCCTGTGTGCTAGCTCTTGTCCCCATCTCTCCGCTGTTGTGTGGCATGCATGTCTAGGGGGAAAAAAAAAAGGCTGAAATTTGCACGTAGGCCACTGGCCAAGGCAGGCCAAGAGCATTTCCAGTGTTCTCCCCAGTGAGGCTGGCTCAGGGTGCAGCTCAGGGGACCCTGCTGTCCCCAGCCCCCTTTAGCCCTGGTGTGTCACCCTGAGAAGCTGCACGGTGACGCTGGGGTCAGCCTTGGCTCAGCACTTCTGTCGGCCTGGGAATGCTGCAGACAGAGCTGCCCCAGCTCAAAATGTGCATGAACCCACTCTTGGCCTTGCACCGGGCCAGGGCCATGGTGGCCTTGGGGGATCCGAGTCCCCCATGCCTGCCACGGGCTGCTGGGTGCTTCCTGCCCCTCTCCCTCCTGCCTGGGGACCTGGGGAAGAGCAAGCAGTGGGAAGCCCTGAGATACCACTAGCAGGTACCTGGGAGCAATGGGGTTTCTGCCGCAATTGGATATTTAATACATTTATTAAATAATAATAATATTAATATAATATTAAAAGATATTTAATATATAGGCAAGTGCTCCAGGCAGCTGCCAGATTTCAGATTGCAGGCAGGGAGAACTGGCGTGTAATTAAACCATGCCTGTGTACCTCAGCCTTCAGGGCTGTCCTGGGTGCCCTTTGCCAGCCTAGCCTGGGGGAGGATGGATGTGCACATGGGTCCCATGGGAGGGAAATCCCCACTGTGCTCAGCACAGAGCACACAAGAGAGCCCAATGGGCCAGTTTCCATTCATTGCCCATCTGGATATCAGCCCCTCTTCATGTTGTTTCCCTCACTTATATTATTATGCTTTAATGCTCCAGGAAAGGGGGGTGTCTGGATAATTTAATTGTGAGTGCGCTGGAGGACAACAGAAAAGCTGTGGCTTTGCTATGGTCCTGGTGGTGATGGGGGCTGGGAGGTGAGAGCTGCCTTAGCACAGCCTGCATCTCTCACTGCAGTCGGAGGAAACGGCTCTGTCATGTCTCAGTGCCCCCAAACCCTCTGCTCAGTGCTTCCAGGGGAAGCCAGGAGCCCTCTTAGGACACAGAGCGGGGAATCCTCACCGATCTCCAATTCATCCTGGCGAGAGGCTCTTTGAGTCTCAGCCAAGTCTGTTTTGAACGCGCCATCCCAGCTGGGACCCAGCTCGTTTAGCTGCAGCCGCTCCCCTCGGATGGATGTGGGCGCAGGGTGCGAGTGGAAGGGATGAACCACGGTGGTGGGGGGCTGTCATCCCGGAGGGAGTGGGAAGCATGCGGCTCGGGGGCGGCCAGACCCCTGAGCACCAGGGCGTGGAGCCAGGCACGGCTGTAGCCGCGTGGTCTGTCCTGCACCTCTGGGGCAACTAAAGTCACCTGGGGCTTGAGACCTGCTCAAGGGGACACGTAGTGTCACGCTGCTGCCCCAGCTGTGCCAGGGAGGGAGAGCTGGGTGTTGTGAGGCTGCTTCACGCTCCAGCACTCCCTTCTGCATCCCAGGGCAGCAGAGATGCAGGATGAGCCTCCGAAGCCCAGGGGATCCCACCCATGGGGAAAGGCTCCCCTTGATTTTTCATTTTCTGCCTTGTGGAGCAGGTGTTGTACCTCCCGAGGCACCTAAGAGAGGGCAAAAGGCACAGCGATCCCACAATGGATAAATACAAGCATGCCTGAGCCCCAGAACCACAGCAAGCACCCAGGCCAGCCGTCCTTCCCAGCAATGTTGAGGCTGGAGAGACCATTTCAATAGGGGGGGGTCTGAGCTAGAACTTGAGCTGTTGGAGAACTGGCACGTGTATGCACCAAGGCAGAGACACATTGTGCCTTCCTGCACCCTTCCCATTCCATGTTGTCCAAGACCACTTGCAGGCTCTACGCCACCTTGATCGGCAGAACCATGAACTGGGGATTTGCCCTCTAAATGCACCCACAGCAATGTGCCAAGTGAGGCAGCAGACAGCTGTCCCCTCTCCCCGCATCTAGCTCTTGATGGCATTTTAATGCCCTTTAATGTCTCTGGACCAAAAAGCATTTCCTCCGCACAAATATCACTCTGCACCTTGTGGCTGCCATCTGTCTGTGCCTCTCCGAGAGCTTTGCAGTCATTAATAAAATTAGTGAGTCCTAACCTCCCTCTGAGCTGTGGGGAATGTGTTTCCCCAGGGGTAAAACAGTGATGAGCGTAGATGGAGCAGAGACTCGCCCAGGGCTGGGATAACACCGTCCTTGCCCTGCCCCGCTGTGTGTGTGTGTGTGAGGGGGCGGCGTGCTTGCTGCCGCTCGCTCCTGCATGCTGATGCCTGTGCGCTTGGTGCTGAGACACAACCCATAGCCAAGCGCTTTGTCCCGGGGCTCCTTGTAAGGTCCTTGTAAAGGAGCAGTGATGACACATGTGACAGTGTCATCTTTTGGGGCTGGAGGGTGGCAATGGAACGCAGCTGCATCAGAAGAGCATCCCTGCGGATATGCACACACACAGAACGACAATAACAGTAATGACTTTCAAAATTAAACCAGCCTCAAGCAGGTATCGGCACAGGCAGGGCTCGAGCAAAACGCTAGCAAGGGCTTCTTGGGACCCAGCTTGAGGAGGTGAGGGCGGCCACGCTGGCGTGGCTGTCAGTGGGTTGGTGGTGAGTTTTAGGGACAGCTCGTGCCATCGGTCCTCAGATAGGACAGCAGCATTGCACCCTTTGCCCTGCCCTTCCAGCAAAGCTTAGTGCCACCAGCCACGCTCAATGCCTGCTCAGTGCCAGGGGAGGCAGGTCCCAGCCTGACTTTGGGACAGTGTTTGGTTCTGCCCCTGCCAGTTCTGGCGGATGGGTCCCCTGGGACACACTACCCATGAGGAAGGGGACACGATGCAGGGCTCAGTGCAGGCAAGGGGCTGCAGGGCATGGATACCCAGCCCTTCACTGCTGCTTTCAGACACAGTGCATGATGCCCTTGGAGATGCCAGCAGCTGGGACAGCCCACGGCACAGATGAGTGCCAGAGCCACCTTTTCACCGGCCCCTCCGGCCTGTCCGAGCCCCCGGGATGCAGGAGGGGCACGCTGCCAGCCAGTCCAAATGCATTATTCCTTTTTCTTTCCCTTTTACAGGCCTTTGCACTGAAGCCAAGTGAAGAACCTCAGAATTGCACTACACGCCATTTAACTCAGCTACAATTTCGCTAGCAGCAAAGCATCTGCGCCGCCACCGAGACCTCGAGTGCTGTTTTTTTCCCCTCCCTGCCCATCTCTCCCTTCTCTGTGCCTGGAAGCCAGTGTTCAGCAGTAGCTCTAACTCACCGTCCGTCCCGCTGGACCACTCCACACCATGTTTCAGCGTCTCACCAGCCTCTTCTTCAGCGACAGCAACACACCGGAAGGCCTGGAGGAGCCCAAACCCTTTGTCGAGGAGGAGGAGGAGGAGGATGGCTGGCTCATAATTGATCTTGCAGGTGAGAAAAGTGAGGGGGACTGGTTTCCCACAGCCTCTGCTGCACCTTGTCTCTCTGGAGATGGGCAAACCCCTTGAGATGACAGCAGATGAGCTTCCGTCACGCGTGATCAGCTCTGCCCTTCATCCCTCCTCCCCTGGTCCCCCTGCCCTGCCTGTGGCGCCCAGCCCTGTGGTCACTGCAGCAGCCCCTGACCTGCTCCTCCTTTTTCCCTTTCCTCTCCCAGTGGTGGTTCCCAACTTTCTGGCAGCGTGGGGGCAGCAGCAGCAGCGTCCCCGGCCAGGGCTGCTGCTGCCCTGGAGCTTCCAGGTGCCCCTGTGCCAGGTTGGGACCCTGGCACAGGACCAGCCCAGGGAGGTCACCCAGGGTTTTGGTGCGATCCTGCCCGCTGGGGGCTTGGTGGGGGATGCCAGCCCACGTGGTCTGTCTGCCTGAGAGCTGTGGCAGAGCCGTGGCCTCGGCTAAGCTGTGCCGTGGGCAGCACTTTGCCCGGAGGAGCTGGGCTCAGCCACTCCCCGCGATGCCCCTGCTGAAAGCAAACCAGGAGCCTGTTCCCCTGGGGGAAACCCCGGTCCCCGGGCACTGGTGGGGGGCCAGGATTTTCCCCATATGAGGGCAGGCAGCAGCGGTCCCATGTCCCAGCTGGGGACATGCTGCCAGTGATCTGGCCATGTTTGGGTCATTTGAGTCCATCAGGGGAGCAAATCTCAACTCCAAAGGGCTTATCTTCCCAAATCATTCCCAGTGTCCATGCCAACAGCACTCGGACAAGGGATGTCTGGCGCAAGGTCCCTGTACCTAGAGATCACTCAAGGGTTCCCCTTTCCCAGGGACGGTGACTACCATCCGGAGCCCTGTTTGACACCAACCAGGCGGGTCAAATTCCTTGTGTGTCAAGAGCTTCTCTAGCTCCATTAAGACCTTGGCATTGCTATTGTAGGGTCGATGACTCAACCAACTGCAATGATAATTTTATGACCTTTTGCTTGCAAATCGAGCAGCAAACTTAGACAAACAAGCCTGCTTGTGCAGGAGATCCTTGGTGGCCATGGTCTGCTTTTGCAGCCTCTGGTTAGTTGTGGTGCCCCACTAACTTTAGGAGGAGGGTTTCATCCTCCCTCTTGCAGGCATCTGTCCTCAGAGCAGATGCTCCCTGCCTGTGCACTGAGCAGAGCTCGTTTTCGTGATGCGAGTCATTCGTTAGGGTTTTTCCCCCCATGTGGTGAGCTGGAGAGGGGACCGGAGCACAGACAAGCCTGGGATGGGGGAGAGGGACAGCCCCGTGCCTGGTGGGAGCACTATGGAGAGCTGGTAGAGGTGGATGGGTGGCATGGGCACAGGCAGCCATGGAGGATTCCCTGTCCTCTGGGCTCTCTGGTGACTGTCCTGGGGGGGGGCACAGCAGTGACACAGGAGGGGGCTGGTTGCAAGGAGGTCCCTGGAGCAACAGGCACACAGCTGCCACATGTCGGGGCCAGCTGGCAACGGCTGCAACATGCCCAAAGCATGTCAGAAGGAGCCAGGAGTTTCCCCAGACAGAGAAACCCTGGGCTGTGCCCTGATCCCCTGGGTCCGAGACGGCAGCCGGCTCAGCAGAGACCCAGGGATGACTTCAGTACAAAAGGCTCCCTTTTTTTTTTTTTTTCCTCCAATCCCCTTGGTGCAGAGCTGGCTTTCAGCAGTGTGTCTGCCTGGGACATGCCACCCCACTGCTAATCCCCACTGGCACCACCGCTGCCTTTTCCCATAGCATTCCCCGGCCAGTGAGGGGCCGATTTATTTCAGCCATATTTCTGAGGCTGGAGTTATGCAAAGCACTTTAAAAACTAAACCCACTGGCTCCAGCCCCCATCCTTCACCTTTGAGCCACGGCGGCTGACAAGCATCTCACAGCCTGGCTCCCTCCCAGCAGCGGGGCAGCCTAACAAGCCTCCAAATTCATTCCCTCTCAGCCAGGTCTTTGACCCATGTGTTGCAAAATGCATCTGAATTAACCACATCTCCTGGGAGCGTTTCAGATGCCCCTCTCGCCCCATCACGCAGCCTGGCTCTGCTCAGCACCCAGGGAGGGAGCAAAGAGCATTTCCCAGTGCTTACTGATACGGCTGCAAGTCACCCAGGGATTTGGGGACCCCAAAACATTCCTTGTGACGTTAAAACTCACCTTGGCAAAGGATGGGGACAGGTAGCCATGGATGGCTGGGGCAGGGTTCAGCTGCGCTGGGTCCCCTGCTCCGCGTACCCACAGCCCCCCTGTTGTGGGAGTGCTGCCGGACCGGGAACGCTCCGGCCAGGCTCAATGGCTGTCTCCAGGCTGACGAATAATCTCCAGCCCGGAATGTCAACAACTATTAATAGGCTGATATCCACTGACCTGAAGAAAGACACTCTCATGTTCACAAGGCTAATTGTGGCCCGCCCTAAGCCCTGGGCTGGGGCATCGTCTGCGGGAGGAGCCGGGGACGTGCTGGGTGGCGAATGCTGGCCCTATGCTTCATGTGCTGTATTTCTCCACTGCAATAACACATTCACCTCTGATTTATCTTGCACCCTCACCCAGCCGCAGGGTCACATGTGTCCATATAGATACTGCACCACATCCCTCCCTGAGACCAGTTCCCTCAAATCCCCCTGATGAGGCCGGGAACGGGTCTGGGTATCCCAGTGAGCCCAACATTAGGCGCAGGCTCCCTTCCCATAACACAACCAGTAATTCTGAGCACAGGCAGAAAAAGCACCAGCCCAAGTGCTTTTGCCAGGTGGAGATGAGGAAGGGAAGGCGAGGAAGGCTGGGGTGTCAGAGGGGTGTGGGTGGCAGCTCCTGGCTCAACCACCCAAAACTCGGCCTCTAATGGACTGAAGCTGAAGGCGCAGCGAAAACCTTTGCTGAAGAATTTAGTCCCCTGGTCTCTTCCAGAAAACAAAGGTGTGAACTGTTTTTTCTCCTCTGTGTATGCTTGGTTTCAATGTTTGCAAAGTGCCAGGCAGTGTTTGCAATCACAGGCGGGCCGGCACTCCTCCAGAGCGGCATGGCACAGCTCAGGTGCCGTAAGAACAGGCAAAAGCAGCGTTTCTTGCTGGCTCAATTTCTTCCTTCATTTTGAGAAAGAAAAAAAAATTGCTGTCGTAAACCCTGCTAGTTTCCCCCACTTTTTGGTTAAACTGCCTAACCAGAACCATTTCCATTGCTTGCTGGCTTAGCAAAGCCGGACACCACAGCACCGGCAGCCGCCCCGGTGCAGAGGGTGCTGGTTGGGGTGCGGTGCAGGGCACTGCTGGTGTCTCCCTCCTCACGAGGTCCCGTTGATGCCATGTTTGTCTCTAGCGGTGGTGATGGTGGTGGGGTGTCTCTTGCACTAACGATGCCCCTTTCTCTCCCCCTCCCTTCCCCACTGTACATGGTATGTGTGTGTGTCCCCGCTGCACCCCGCATGGCTCTGCACCCCCGCCACCCCCAGGCAGCCGTGCCTGCCCCGGTGCAGCCCGGCGAGTGGGTGCTGGCGGTACTGGGCGCTCGGCGCGATCCCACCCAGCTCCCCCCGGTCCGCTGCCGGCTGCTTCCCCGGCTCCGGCCAGTCCCTGCTTGATGGACGAGAGTTGGTTTGTCACCCCTCCCCCCTGTTTTACTGCAGAGGGGCCCAGCCCCGGCGGCGTGGGGAGCAGCCCCATGGAGGACCTGCTCATCGAGCACCCCAGCATGTCCGTCTACGTCACCAGCACCCTCGAGGTGGATGGGGAGGGCCCCGAGGATGATGCTGCCAGGTGAGTGCAGCTTGGGGGTGCTCGCCGGGGGCTGCCGGCCCCAGCACCCACTGGGGGACCAGGATGGATGGTCAGTCCTGGCATCCCAAATCAC